CCCATTTTACTGGCTGACATAATTGATGGTGCCGGCGACCTTGTGAGGGTCAAACTGGCAGAAGGGTCTATGTTTCCGTCACCACGGAGATTGTGTGAGAACACACACACACACACACACACACACACACACACACACACACACACACACACACACACACACACACACACACACACAAGTTACTGATCTCTAGTCTCGAGGCCCTTCTTGGTTGGCTAAAAATATTTTGTTGTATGTCTTTCAATCTTTTTTAATTGTAGTGTTGAAATAACAGACCTGCCATATTTATCTTTTTGACGGTAAATATATTTAGTTTTTGGTGACATTGTTGAAAATTCAGAAAATCATATACGTTTATTATTAAGGTCGTCAGTGTTGTACTGGGATACTTACTATTACTATGTGTATACCATATTTAGTGTACTATATTAAAAGAAAATTGAAATATAATGTACAACACCAGTATCCAGGCTTAAACATTTAATTTAATTACACCTTTTGAGAATTTCAACAACATGTTTTACATTAAAGCCATCCTAAGAGTAGACCTAATAGAACAGTTTTTGAATGCATAAGACTCTAAAGGTGCACCTAATAAACTGGACACTTTTAAAATGTCTTAAACGTTAGCATGGTTTGTTTGGATTAACTGCAAGAAGTGTTGCAAGAAACCTTTTTGAAAGTCACTGCTCTGTAAGTTTCAGCTCTGAGAACTGCTCAAAGTTGTACTGATGATTCAAAAGAAAGTCACACATAAAAAGAAATAACTTTCTTGAATCATCTTTTGATAGAACATTTTTACAGAGCTCGCTACTCTCATTGTCTTCACTGTTTCCTCTTTGATAATATCAAAGGTTCTGGAGCTTCAAAGTGTGGAAGACAAGCCTGACCAGCAATGTTGACAACCTTCACTTCTTCCACGCACGCACGCACGCACGCACGCACGCACGCACGCACGCACGCACGCACGCACGCACGCACGCACACACACACACTGTATGTATTTATCAACCAATCTTACGTAATGGAAACTGAACAAATTTAATTTCAGATATGCCTCAATTTTGAACCATCTGTAATCATGTGACAGCAGGCAGACGGCAGGAAAAAAACCACTGACGTTCAAGCACACACACACTTTTTATGACTTCAAGTGTGATGTCACAGAAAAGTGAATGTGGTCTGGGCTTATTTCTTCACGGGCTAATATAATTTTTCCACCGGCGGAGAGTCCCCCCCCCCCAAGAGCAATGTAACTCGATGGTGGCATGCAGCAAATACACACGGATCCCTTGTCCAGACTGGAACTGGTCCTGGCAGGATCACAGCTCCCTAGTTGTTTATATCAGTGAGCAGAAGCTATCCATTACCCCGAGCAAGGTGCCTGATGCCTTTTTCCACCAGCGGTCAAAGTGATATTGGTTTCTTGTATTAGAGGAGAGAGGATGGAGTCTGCCAAACGCCCACTCTCAGGGCCTATAAAATCACATGTCTGAGCAGCTGAGCTGAAACTGTGGAGGAAGTCAGAGGAGGGTCTGAAGAGTTGGTGAAAAGGGTTTAACGTTAAAGCTTGACATACATTGGAAGTCAAGTAAGGGAGTAATTACAGTTAAACATAGAGCAATCTCTCAAGAGACATTTTAGAAATGGTAATTTAATTGAACAAATCTCATGTTATTTCTATGGTCAGAGAATATGGTTCTTTTCTCCTGAATGTTGCCCACAATCATTCACCAGGTGTGTTACTGGGGTGTAATATGTCTTAAGCTGATGGCTAAAAAAGCAAGCACAGCATTAAGTCATTGTTTAGCTACTTACTGATGATTATAGGCCTCAATACATTTAATATATTCTCGTATTTTTATTACATGAGGTCTTGAATCTCAAATTGCTATTTGGAGGACATTCTTGCCTTTTATAGGGTTGTTACCAGATATTATCAATGGATGACCAAAACAAAGAATACTGCAGAGGGAAGTTTATTTAGCCTCCAGATGCTTTGTAGGCCTTCAAAATCATCTTCTGAAATAGCCTCAAAATCACAAAGAATGTATCTTTCAGTAACTTTCTGAGAGAATTAAGCATAAATCTGTTAAATTTTCAAAATGGCCTTGTTTCACTGAAATAGCCTCAAAATCACAAAGAATGTATCTTTCAGTAGCGTTTTGAGAGAATTAAGCATAAATCTCTCAAATGTTCAAAACGGTCTTGTTTCACACATTTGGTACTGAGCATAATCAGTCAGACATGAAAGATATTTTGTCCGAAGCATTTCTCACTCTTTGTAGTTGATTAGATTGCCGACTTAATGCAGTGAACGTATTGATAAAGAACCGTTTTGTGGTGATTGCATGCCATCAGTTAGTCACAAACTGGAGGATTGGGTTAGCGTCATACCTGCATCCATTTAAGCCAATAGTGGCAGGGAGACAGCCGTCGAAGTTGCCAGTTTGACGGACAGAGGTGCAGTTAGGAGAGGAGGAACCACAGTGGCTAAATAACACCAGCCGCCAGCCAAAACCTGGGAAATGTTTGGTATTACTGGTGATTTTGTTTAACACCTACCTTTTTAGATAACCACATGTCATTTGGATGTTCTATTCTGGGCTGGGAATCACCCATGTTTTTTCCAAATGGTTAAATAGGGAGGTACATTTAGGGATTTTGAAGTGTTTCCGGCCTGCATACGTAAAAAGGTTTCCTATATGAGGGAATGCCAGTGAGCTTAAGAGTGCTCTGGGTCCCCTGAAAGCCCTGGTCTAAAGTCAGCTTCCACATTTCATGGGGTGTTAACAGTCTCTCAGACACTCTGGTGGGCAGCTAGTAGCTCTGTTTTATGGAGTGTAAACCTTGAGTTCTTCAGCATCTTTTTTTAACCCTCTTACCTTTCAGCCATTACAGTACGTGACCCGGGACATTCTATTCTGTGTTATAGTTTTAAGGAATGTACACCATATTACACTATATGCTGCAACAAACCGTCTTCCCGTTCGGTTATTCTGTGTAGAATGAGTGACATGTTGTTATGTGATGGAATAGACAGATGCTTGTTGGTGTTAAGATACAGTCCTGGCTCGAGGTGTTAGTGAGCCGCCCCAGGCTGCCCTCCAGCCAGCCTTCGCTTGGAACGCTATCATCACTCCAGTTCCCCACCAACCAAAATATCACCTCGGCCTGGCTACGTGTTTGTTTACCTACCCTGCTTCTGCACAGGGCCGGAAATGTTTAGTAAAATAGACAGGGTTGAGGTTTTGTGTCTTTGGACCAGGGATGGAGGTACCCAGGTCCTCGTTGTCCTCTCTTTCACCCCGGGATGTGTCCTGGGTCAGGGGGACATCTGTGGTCAGCATCAAGCTGGGAGAGGTGGAGGCTGAGGATAGCTACTGTCATCATGGGGTAAATAGAAGGAAAGAGGGGGCTGATTAGTGTTAACACAGACCCGGAGATAAAGGGTTGTAGTCTGACTGAGGCCGGGCTCGACCAGTAAACAACCAGTGGGGTGTCTGAATGGCCTGGAGATCAGCCTTTGGCTAAACCTGAAGGCCTCTCTCAGCACTGGCTCTTCTAAACACGCATCCAAACACACATGCTCAACACACATGCATACACATCTCATGAGAAGGAAGCTTGGTAACACACATTCACTCTACGAGAGGCACACCTATACTCCCAAAAAGAGAACAAATATAAAAAGAGACTTTTAAATACACACCCACAAACGCATACGTCTTAAATAGAGGATGTTAGCTGACTTCAATGTGTTGGCAGGCGACGGGGTCAACTTCGGTGACTTCTGTCGTCATCATTTGGTTGGGAAAAGCATTTGTCAAACATTTTTAAGTAATGGATAATGTGTACCGAGGCAGTCATTATTGAAAAAAAGAACGATCCCTTCGATCCTCCATAGCAACGTTCATTATTTTTGCTTAACAGCGGTCTGTTATCGAGTATTAACAACCTCTGAAATTTCCAAATTGACCAATCAGAATTGAGTATTCAACCAAGCCGTGTAATAAGCCGTGATATACAACAAGGTGATGGTGTTCAAACACGATGGGCTCATTTTAAAAGTTTGTGAATTATTTAGCTCTTACTAGATCTTTTTTGATGCAGCACAGTTAGAATAAACTCATCGGACTGAGCTGTCTTTCCTTTCCTGTTACTCATTTTGTTCCTAGGCCAGCTTTGGGAAGAACTAAAGTGATCTCACAAGCAGGTTTCAGATCAACTAGGTATCATTTGCTCATCAGCGCTTTGCTCCAGACACTGAAACTGTGCTGCACGGCCAGCATGGCAATGTGATGTCTACTAGCTGAGATGGTGATACAGTCTGAATGCACTTTCTGCCACTTTCTCTGCCTGACACTCATCCCACGAGGACAGTGTTTGATCCAAAACGAAAGGTACAGTTTCCATAGGGGGTACAGCCAGCCCTGCTTCCTCCTGGTCACCGTAATCTTTGGTGTCTCCTTCGAGTCAGGCGTAATCAGTCACACACCGCCACATGTTTTGACACCTGTCCTGTGTGGTGTGCAGGAAGTAAGCATATTACTGCGCTGCAATCACACTCCCTTCCTTTGGAAACACACACACAGACAATCAAACCCATCTTCACATGAATTAAGACAGACAGGTGGATAGTCAGGAAGGGATTAAAAACGAGGCAGAGGAGAAGAAATGAAGGTTTCCTTACATTGTGGGGTTTTTTGAAAAGAGGGTTGGATGACTTGGGAGGCGAGTGACTGTTAATGGGAAGAAATGAACGTGCTTTACTGGTGGATGTGACAGGAAGAGACTGTTCTTAACAAGGCGTCAGAGTCAGTCAGAGTTACAGATCCATCACTTCTCAGAGGCTGCGAGAAGGCGGGGGGAGACATTTAAGGATATTCAGAGAGGGAGAGAGTCTGTGAAGAAGAGGGAGAAAGAGGGATTTGAGTGTGGCTGACAGCACTGCATTTAATTTGGGCTGCCAGATCCTTTTTCATTTGACTCCCTCTCAACCGGCTTAGAGGCTGCGGAGGACTTGGAGGCGAAGGTTTGCCAGGATGCTTCAGATTAGCACTGATGTGCCACGTCACACTTTAAGCCGGCCTGTAATTCATGTTCAACAGGGGGATACTCACACATTACACTGTGCTGTGCAGGACGTGATTAATTGACTCACACTCTAATGTCGGGTGTAATTTGCCCATCCTCTGATGTGAAACTGACTTTATACTAGACTTACTGTATGTCGCCGTCCCAGGGATGTTATAATGGAGTCTTGGCTCTGAGCTGTGTAATTTTTTAAGTGAGGATAGGATGAGGGAAATGCTTCAGGTAGTCTTTCCACTCAGTTAAATACAGTCTAATACTCAGGTGAAATGTAATGGGGCAGAATTGTTGTTTTACTCTAGGATGAATGCTTGACCAACTAATGTCCTTTAAGCTGTCTCTATGAAAAGTTAATTAAATGAAGATAGGGAATGGTGTGTTCTTCCGTGATCAAGGTCACTCTAGCACGTCTATCATGAGTTCTACTTGATGCAGCTATTTTAAACCTCTGCGCTTCTTTTTCCAGACTATGCTCTTCCTGGGGACTCTGGAGGAAGAGGAGGGCCAGGAAGGAGAGGGAAGGAGGGAGATGGCAGAAGCTCTGCTGTCTGCCCTGACAGACAGACACCAGCAGAGACAGACATGGAGAGACAGGTAACACAATGTACAACCAACTTTGTTTCCTTCTATCGGTCCCCTCGAGAAACACATGTTTGACAGATGTGTGGGACGGGTAAAGTAGGACACTCTATGAGGTACAAGGTTTCATATTAAAACTAGTATCCCTATCACACACAACTAGGAGGAATAACATGTTTTGGAATGGGCTGCCTGGTGTAATAATGACATTTATGTTTTGTTCAGGATATCTCCGAATTGTCCATTTAAATTAGATTGGCCCAAACTGGAGTGCAATCGAGTTGTTTGAGAAACCATTAAAACTAATGGTGATTATTAACCCTTTCAGTTAATGACAATATGGGCTTACAACATGCTCACAACAAATACATAACACACCCATGCATTGGGGTCAAGGGTCCTCACCCAAGCAAATATTTAGGAAACCCCCAATTCAGGAAAATGAGACACATCCAAAACTTTGACACAAACAAACGTTGCTTAAATTGCCAAGAAATCACTTAAGGAGATGTTGCAGCCAAGCAAAAAGGTTCATTTGACTTGGAAGGACCAGAGCGATTGATCTGTTGAAATACAATGAGTAACACCAAGTTATTTGTGTGCAGGACTAATTACACTGTGGGGACTCAAACTCAAAACATGACTCAAAACTCCAAACTAAATAATCATTAATCGACTATTTACTTCTGCTTTGTTTGAGAAGCTAGCAAGAGTATGGTGTGTCAAGAAATTATCCAACCAAAAACAACACATCCTACCAAACCCTTTTCTAGTTAGAGTTACTGTATATCAAACAGTCGTCTGAATTGGCAACAGTCACAGCCCATCCCTTCGGACCCCCCTCCAAAACATTCCCCCCAAAACTATCATGATGAACGTGATCATAATGAAAAGATAATACAATCATTGCTTTCGATAAATCCAACGGCTGTCAAGCTTGTAGCCTGCGGAAAAATCCTGTGAGTCCCAATGAGTCCGGGCAGGTAGGGAGGTTGTTTTAATTTTGATTTATAATCTGATGTTGGAATGTACAACAAGTTTAACAAAAAATGATTTTGGAGAAGATTGCCCGACCGTTGCTGTAAGTGTGCATTGACAAAGATTCCTTTTGAAGCACCGATGTGGATCCCACAGATACTCAGTTCTGTAGTTTCTGTTTGTTTGTGGTCCTTGGACCTGGAAGCTATCACAGCTATCACAACGACACGTGTGTCTTGGATAAGCCCGCTCACTTCCTTCCTTCCAGATAAGGACAGAGAGCTCAAGGATTAGAACACTGGCCATTCATTCAGATAAAGGAGGGCCTTACACACACACACACACACACACACACACACACACACACACACACACACACACACACACACACACACACACACACACACACACACACACACACACACACACACAGTGTTATTTTAGCTGTTCATTCTCTTAGTCAGTCTCTCCCTCAGCACTAGCAAGGACACACACAAACACTGCCATGCATGTATACACTACATCTGCATTCACATGTGTTTCGCTGCTTATTGTCTCTATCAACAGATTTGACCTCAGTGTCACACACACACAAACACACACACTTTGGACCAGACATGTTCCAGAGCCTAAAGAGTGCCAGGGGCATAATCCAAAGACTACAAATTCCTGAAAGCAACATCTCTCCTTCTGGAAGATGTATGTCAACTTCCTGCTGTTTTGCCGCCCTCAGCTTTCCGCGGCGCCTCTCTGTTTTGAGTCGTCCCCCTCAGTTGACCCTTAGCTCTGCCCCATCCAGATGAGCCTTGTAAACAGGCTGTTTCCACACACCTTGCTATGCCGTGTCGACGCCCACCGCCTCACAACTCTGATGTAGGGCCTGCTCTGATAGTGCATTCCAGCTACAGGTGCTGAAAGCTAGAAACCATCCCACCCCAAACGTAACATCAGCGCTATCCCCCATCATCCCAAGCTCCCCCACCACCCACAATGCACTGTTACCAACTTTTCAGCCATGTCCAACCCCTCACCCTAAGATCCTGACAACCAGTATCACAGACCAGGACAGGAAATGCTCCGTCCTTGTCGGCGGGGCAGACAGACGTTTACTCTATCAGCAGTGAAAGACTGATTAGATTAGTTTTGGAGGAGGGCAAGAGTCCCACACAATGTGTTTGAACTCCAGCTGCTCCTGATACCTCTTCTCCCCTTTAAACACATGAAATGTCTCTCCCTAACCCCCACCGCCCCCACTTACAAAAAAGCCGGGGGTCATCCTGTCAAGTGGCTGTCAACAGATCTCATTTACACAAAACTAAACACATGGCCGTGTGCAATGTTAAGTGGGACGTACTGGTACTGATTAGAGATTTGCAGCTGATGAAGGTTAAGGATGGACTTGCTTGTTTTTTGAGGAAGAAGGAGGTTTGTATTTTTGTATGGAGACTAGAAGACAAAGTTATTGTTTGAAAATAAAAGAGTGAAAAATCAGAGACAGACTGAGGGAATCTGGTTCAGTCAGATGTATTTCATTTATTCTCATGAAAGCACTCTCCATAAGATTACTTTTGAAATTAATTTGCTGATTTTTATTGCGCGTCCTAATTAGGTTTCCACACAATATGCAACAGGCAGGCTTTTATCATAATACTGCCTTTTGTTTCCACGGTTTCTATTCAACACATAATGCTTGCAAAAGGATGGAAAAATAAAAAAAAGCATGATTGATGACTCTTGCTAGAGGCACATAAACATAAACAACCAGCACTGATTGATTAAGTTTCTCGCTGACTTTTGTTTCTTAAACACCAGTTAAAGCAGCACTCTGCGCGCTGGAACGTGGGCCTGCTCGCTGCCATTTTCTGCCTCCGGGGCATTTTTAGCACCATCAAGAAGGAAAGGAAGAGAAATTGGACCTGGTGACCAGTGGTTCTTCACGAGTGACTTATAGGCACTCAAAGTGAGTGATGCCTCGACTCGACCCGCTAGCAGCAGCAGTCCATTCATTCACTCTGAGCCAACAAAGTTATGAGAGCTTTTTTATTCTTATGAGCTTTTCTGGTAACTGGGTTTTCCCGATGCACACGGTGAATTCTTTGATAGATGCTGCCCTCCGTGTCCCTTTGGTAAATGCCCCGTGAGTTCCCTGGGAAGAGATGGATTATTATGTGGGTGACTCGGAGAGCCGTTGAGTATGCCACACAGGAGCTGCAGATTTAAGAGCAAAGCACAACCTCCAGGGAACATGCCTACGATGCTATCTTGGATCAGAATGATTACATTATTTCTACTTTTGAACCCCCTGGATGCTGTGACCTTACGGTGACCTTCCAGTGCCTAGAGGTCACTGCTCTGACCAACATAAAAAAACATAAAAAAAGCTTTGTCACAGCCGGCGAGCAAACACTGAAGGGAACAGCTGCGAGTTTTGTACTGACCATGCAAACTGCTGTAGGCTTTGTAAGGTCATTATATGATAATGAAAATCATTACAGAATTACATGGGGGTTTAGGACATGAGAGCAGCGGGGAGGGGAGGGGAGGGCCACATTGGGTTTGATAAATGGACTGTGAAGGTGCCCATCTGGCCCTCTCTATGGCTTTTTCTTCCTGCTCTTCCACTCTCGTCCTTTACTACCCCTCTTTCATTCCCCTCCTCTGTTCTCCAGCGGGCCAGTGTAAAAGCAAGCGGGCCTGTAGTGAAAGATTAACAGAGTGCAAACCCAACTCACCTCTGTGGAGGAGAAAAGAAGAGGGGAGACAGGCGGAGGTGTTTATGACCCAAGGCAGGGTTTGTGCATGACTTGGCAAACCCTGTCCTCCCATCTCTCAGTGTGGGCCGGTAGGAGAGTAGGCAGCCATTGACCTTTGGCATCGGAAGCAGTTGGACGGCTCAGGATGTGAGAAGGCTGCAGTTCGGTGGCACTAGGTATGTTTTCTTCAATAGGCTTTGGAGTTAATACATAGCTAGGTTTCAAAAAGTCATTTTCACATACCCCTCCTCCTCATATTAGAATTGGTAGAGGAAATGGATGTTTAGCAGTGGCAGCTTGGGATAAAAAATACATCATATCCACCTCTATGCGAAATTAGAAATATTAGACTCCACTCTATTTCTAAGAATATCATTTATTGCATATTTTCTATTTTTTCTATAATTCAAGTGACTGATTGTTAGAGCATCTAGTTCCTGTAATTTCCAAGTATTTTTGACATTTTTGTTGATTTTGGATTATATCATATTTTTACCCTTTAATTTGTACAATTTAAAAACCAAAAACATTGCCCTTTTTCTAGTCCGTGGAATGTTAAGGCTCTATTTTGAATGCAATTCCATCCCAGCTGCCCTTTGAAATGACCTGAGCCACATGGTACAGGTTAGGGGTGTAACTATAATAGCTGTACACTCAGAATTTGTGGCGTAGTACATCTGTCGCCTGTGTTTATTACTTTTCTCCAACTTGTTGGGAGTTAGTGAGGTCTTTATCCCAAGACAAAAGCTACATCAGCTGACATGGCAAGCAGATCTAAAGGACCGAGAAGGAGGTCCACGTGTCCACAGCTGCACTCATCACTCAGCTGTCCATCTTGACCCGTGACCTGTAGGGCTGTCCCCCGGCATCCATTGGCTTTATGTTTCCTGCCATTGTCATCCTCTCTTGTCCTCACCTGGACCGGGCGCTGATACACAAAAGGTCCAGTCTGTCATCAAAACCAAGGGGTCACCGGGGGCCAGAGAGCCGAGGTTGAAGCCGTGCCCGGCCGTGGATGACCCCACCAGTGATGTCAGCTACCAGTTGCACCCCCTGTGGAGAGGCATAGAGACCTTCATTGGCTGGCACTTCATTCCAGTAGTGGTGACATTTCTTTTGTGTGGCCCCTGACAGACCCTGCCTCGACTCCTTCGGTGGGGTGGGTCGGGGAGTTAGCAGACAATGGAGGTCTCCCGTCCCAGATGGGAGTTGGAAACATTGTCAACGTCGTGTCCACAATAAAGACGGACGGACCACAGCCTTGTCTAATGTGGCCAATGACCT